TCTTTACTACACAAGGTCCCACTTCGGGAATTTATTTAACAATAAATTGACCATTGTCACTTTGGTCCCTGGGTATGTGTTGAATTGTATACTGTACAAATAAAGTAATTTAATGTAGTTTCTATTGAGACAAAAAAATGTAATCATCTGTGGAAAGTGAATTCAGACCACCTAGAGATGCTGTGGTAGCATCGTGAAAATAAGCTGGATGTGAGTGTTAGAGCTCTAATTCTGAAAGAGCCTATCTATAATGTGTGTAATTGGGCCAAAGTCTTCCATTAAACATTGGGAAAACAACCCAGTGAACCCATAGAGAGACATTGACTTAATTTGGACTTTTGCACAGGGGCAAGGGTTGTGTCCTAATGGATTCTGATACGAGATATGGTGTTCCATTTGCTTCATTATTTGAGCTATTGGATTACTGTTTTCTCCACCCTGGGCTTTCTCAAGCAATTGGCTGCCTAGTAACAAGTTTTTACATATATTAGAAGTATCCTATCTTAAACTAAATAATATCCCACCTTTCTTTTCCCGAATGAGGGGTGGGGCAGGGTGTAACCCCCCTCATTCAGGTTTTTAAATATCTTATGTGTCATTAGACCATGGAACTGATGTAATTACTTGCTTTTCCCAAATGATTTTCTCTCTGTGCACACAGCTTTTGAGAGATGGCAAGGGCTCCATGCCTTAAGTCCTGGGGGCAATAATAATCAGATATTGTGTGCTTAATTTTTCTCTCACGCAATGACTTCATTTTTGTCCCAGTCACCTTTAGTGTCTCTGTATTCTGTCCCCCAAAATGGATTTTCCATTAAAACATTTGTGATGTCTTCAGTTTTACATAAAACCCATTTTGTGTATCACAGCTTTCTCTAGTGTTACAGTCTCAACAATGTAGTGGTCGTCATTAATATGTCATTTATTCCTCTTAGTATCTATGGGGAACCCTCAAAAGAAAGTTAGTGTCTAGCACAAATTTTCTGCTATATTAGGTCTGGTGGACCTTCAAATGTTGTTGGGCTGCATCTCTCATAATCTCTGATCATTGGCCATGCTTGTTGGAGTTTATGGGAGTTGGAATCCAATAACAGCTGGAATGCCATAGCCCCCCTACTCCTGAAATAGATATTTATTTGTTTTACTTAAATTATTAATAATCCGCTCTTCGCTGGCCACATAATCCCAGAGGGAGGAATAGCATTAGAATGCAGTAAACCCATAATTCATTTTAATACAACTGAACATAAAATCAAACAATATGGTAACATCATAGCTACATCAGCCAAGTGTGGGCACTACTTTAACAACATGTTTTAGTGAATAGCAACTTTTTCAACTAGTGTTGAAACTCTGTTAGTGCTGTTGCTAATTGCACCTGGCAGGAGGGTGCATTCCAGAATTGGAATGCCACTAGATTAGCATTGATGTGCTTGTGATGCATCCTGTCCATAATAAACTGTTGTGTAAGCCCCCTTGAAATGAATGGGGTTTAGGAAAGATATTTCTGGAGGATTGTGCCCAGTACCATTGATTTAAGAGTACAGTGGTACCTCTAGATACACACGCCACTGGTTGCATATCCTTCAGGATGCGAACGCGGCAAACCTGGAAGTATTTTTCCGGGTTTTGCCACGCGCGCATGCACAGAAGAGGCATCTCCGGTTGCGAATTCCTCAGGATCTGACTGGAGCTCCAGAATGGACCCCGTGCGCAACCGGAGGTACCACTGTAGTTTCAGCATAATCATTAATATGCATTTTGCACTCATGGAGTCACAGTGAATTTGTGTTAATGAATGTACTTATATTAAACAATTTAACTATAATGTTAAAAAAGGCTATTTAATGTTAACATGGAGTTGAAAGTTAAAGCTTAGTATTAGCATTCTTTGATTAATAAGCCAGTAAAGCCATTGCTCTGACAAGTCTCTGTTGACTGGATTATTACTTCCTTGGGGAAAAGGTTCTTAAATTCAATTTCAAGAATCAAATACATTTTTTCACATTTTAGAATTTTATGTAAGAAATCAACATAAATATTGCCTTTCTGAAAATGATCCAAGGGTGGTGGTTGTCCTCCCGCCCCCTGGCCGATTATAAACAAATGCCAGATGTGGGGGTGGATGGAGGAAAGCAATAGTGCAGAACACATTAAAGTACAAATATTCCTACTCTGTCCCTCAAATGACCTGGTGCCCAAATATTTGAAAGAGAACATCTTTCAGAATCTGCTAACCCAGTTTTTAAAATCTGCAGGGGAGGCTCTTCTAATGGTTCTGGTTGATAGATACTGCCTATTATGCAGTGGCCTGGAAGACATTCTTCCCATTGGTGGCACCTCACTTGGACAACTCCCTGCCTCTCAAGGTGTGTTACACATCCTTGATGCAAAGTTTTCATTATATATTTTATTTTATGGGAATCTCTATTTAAATGTTAATAAGTTTCTTACCTCCCAGAGAGGTGGTCAGCCTTGTCACATTAGTTCATGCGCTGGTTACTTCTATACTGGATTACTGCAATGTGGTGCTTCCTTTGCTGCAGTTAGTACAGAATGCTGCAGCAAAATTGTTGACAAGGCTTTCCTGGTCAACAAATGGCCGTAGCCATGGAAGTTGGTCAAAGGCACTTCTAGCCACTGAGACTTCCCGAACCTCCAGTGACAGAGCTGGATTCGCAACACCCCCAAATATATTTAAGACATGAATTCCCCTAGGCCAGATCTTTCCAAACTTTTCATGTTGGTAACACACGTTTTAGACATGCATCATTTCGCGACACAGTAAATAAGTTTTACTAGCAAACCAAAAGTTAAACAAACCCTTTTCCAGCCCTGGGAAGAGCATGGGGAGCATTCATGAGACACTTCTACACACTGCAGCCAACACACTAACGTGTCACAACACAGTTTGGAAAGCTTTGCCGTAGGCATTTGAGACTGTGCTGGGTTATTTGTTCCGATTTGTATGCTGCCATATTGTCAATTAATTGCATTTTTTAAAAAAAATTAATATACATTGTGTATTATTATTTTATTATTATTTATTATTATTATTTTTAGGGACGCGGGTGGCGCTGTGGGTAAAACCTCAGCGCCTAGGACTTGCCGATCGTCAGGTCGGTGGTTCGAATCCCTGCGGCGGGGTGCGCTCCCGCTGCTCGGTCCCAGCGCCTGCCAACCTAGCAGTTCGAAAGCACCCCCGGGTGCAAGTAGATAAATAGGGACCGCTTACTAGCGGGAAGGTAAACGGCGTTTCCATGTGCTGCGCTGGCTCGCCAGATGCAGCTTGTCACGCTGGCCACGTGACCCGGAAGTGTCTTCGGACAGCGCTGGCCCCTGGCCTCTTAAGCGAGATGGGCGCGCAACCCCAGAGTCGGACACGACTGGCCTGTACGGGCAGGGGTACCTTTACCTTATTATTATTTTATGTAGTGTACACTGCTCTGCATAGGAGCCAGCTCCTAAAGGATGAACTCCTCCCCCCTCAAATATTTGATGGGGCTGGAGGACCCCAAAGTTGATGAGCATTGCCATTCAAATGGTGTGTGCATGCCACATCTTGTGATTAGTTATGTGGGATGGGGACTTACCTATTTTATTCAAGTTGGCACCCCTGCTGCCCTGAGGGCAAAGGACAGTCTATAAATAAAATTAACAACAACAACGGGGTGTGGGGGGTGGGTGGGTGGTATTTCTCCCACCCACCTTGAATTTTTGGAAAGACCAATTATAAATGTTTCGAATAAGTAAATGTGGGTTTGCCATCTTTATAAGATTTCAGAGAGCATATAGCTTTTCACAAAATATTGTTCAGAGCTGCTACTGACCCACTGTTTTCTTGTTAAATGTTTAGAACTGTCTAAGCATTGTGACCCTGTAGTGAACATAAGCAATCCTAATTTTAGCAGTTTGCTTTTTGTCACTTTTTCTTCAGCCCCATTATTATTCATTGAAATTCTACATGAAATAGATAAGGGAATCGCTCTGTATAAAAACCCCACCAAACTGGAGATGGGAAATGCTTCTTTTATTTCAGACTTGAATATTGATGGATACTTTATTCTTGTTTTTCAGAGCTGTGACCTGCCCCAGCAGAGTATCGTTCATATTGTTCAGAATCCACAGAAAAAGGATGAAGAGGTTGAGACGGAAAGCAAAAATGTCTCTGGCATTCTAACAAGCAATGGAGGAGAAGCTGAAAGCCTCACTCGGGTGGATCTCAACACCAACCTGCTGCCTTCTCACTCAGCTGGCCTTGCTGTGATTTTAGACACTGTGGATGATGGCATCTCCCCTCTAGCTGGCAATTCTGGTAAGTTGCTGAACCCACACAATCCAAAATACAGAGGGTTTCTTTTAAAGCTGATTGTGCAGTAGGGAAATCACAACTTTTCCGTGTCTTTTTGGTGAACCATATATAAAAACCCCGGAGGCTGGGGCACTGTTTTTGGTGTTCTTTGAGCCCTGTTGCTTATATTCAAGGGATGCATGCTGTGATTATCCTGAGTTTGCTTGGCAAGGCTGCTGCCATTTTATAGTTCCCCAAATCCATTTGGGAATCAGCAGCCAGTCATGCTGGTGTGCATGTTTCTTTGTTTAATCCTCACTGTCATAGACAAGAAGCACATTGTGTATTCTGTTTAGTCTGCCAGCCCTCCTGGGAATCTCTATTTAAATGTTAATAAGTTTCTTACCTCCCAGAGAGGTGGTCATTCAGCTCGGAGGCACAATGTCATTCAACACTTGCCAGGGATCTAGAGGCATGGAGGGATGATCTTCTTGCTAAAGAGGGATGTTTAGATTTAAGGAGCAAGAAGCACAGCTCTCTTCATCCTTTTGTAGCGTTCTGCATGATGGAGAGTTTAAGGATCATTAGAGTTTAAGGGCTTTGTGGCCAGCAGTGGAACAGGCTGAGGACCACAGTCATAGTAGTATGTTGGTTGAAGCTTTCCTTCTCTGGCTGTCAGGGAACTGGTAATCTGATGCCATATCCTGGTTTTTCAACTCTTTTGGAATAATTTGGAAAGGAGATTTAAGAGTTGTGATGTGGAGAATTAGGTTCCATTCAAGCAGTGCTGTGAAAGAGTTGTTCAACAGTGGAACCAACTCCCACGAGAGGTGATGGAGGTTTTTAAGCAGAGGTTGGATGGCCGTGTCTCATGTATGATCTAGTTGAGTTTCCTGCATTGCAGGGGGTTGGACTAGATGACCCCCAGGTCCCTTCCAACTCTACAACGATATGATTCTATGGTTCTATACGTGTTTTGAATATCTAGTGGCACATCCCTTCTGGGACAATACCTGAGGAAGACTCTCAGACTACATGGCTGGGGGAGACTTGAGGGTTTGAACACTCTTCTACAAAAAAGAAAAAGAAAACCCTCAACACCTGCTCCATGGATTGTATCCAATTTATGTCATACTCGGGACTTCCGTGGTGGCGCCATTGGCAATGGCGGACTCCCTCTGATCTGGAGGGACTAGCTCCACGTGAAACGGGTCTTTTCTGCTACGGCGAAGCGGGGACCCTTTCAAAAATCACAGGCGGATGAAGCCTGTGACCGTGGGACTCGGCGGGCACCCTTAGCGCCCCCCCAACCCGCAAAGGAACCCACTAACGGGCTCCGAAGCGAAGAGGGGGAAGTGGCGCGGTGCTGTGAGTCAATTGCTTTTTCCGTGGAGCGAAGCTGCATAGCCGTTGCCGGAGAGCGCTGCCTTTTTCCTGGGACAATTTGGCTTCTAAAATAATCACCCGTGAGTACTTAAATTTTGGACAATTGGACTTTAAATAAGGACTTGCGAGCAGAAAGGAATTGGACTTAAAAATTTACTTCAATTTGGCACTGAAACGGGAAGGTCTAAACAGGAAGTCAGCCTTCCATTTCTTTGTAGACAGATTAAAACAAAGACAAGGTAAACTAGAGCTCAGAAAATCGCTTCTAAAAGATTAACTTTCATCATTTAAAATTGTTGAACCCCCCTTCGGAAGCAGGAGAAGAAGGGGATCTTTTCGGACTGTTTAAACCTGCAGAAGTGAGTCTAAAGTAAAGTAACTTTCCACCGTCTTGATCCTGGAGCGGGGTGTCAGGACTGACGTTTTTTGAAGCTCATTGACCAGAGACAAACGTTTTTGACAGATAGCTAAAAGAAGAGAAACATAGTGATTCCACTGTTCCCCTTCGCATTTTAAAGGAACAAATATTGACAAAATATCTGAAAAAGGAAACTTTGTTGCTAGATTTGTCCTTAAAAGAAAGAACAAATAGAAGTTTTTCCCCCTAGAGGAGACTGTGAAACTGTAACCAATTCCAGGGGCTTGCAGCTGTTACAGATTACAATCGTGGGAATAGACTTCTGACCTTGAAGGACAATGTATTCAGAAGCTCTGTTGTGTGCTCTCTGTAAAACAAATGCCCTACTGGAACAATTAAATGAGAAGACGGATTTGATGACTGATGCGATCAGAATTTTTGAACAGGCAGTGGGAAACTATATGGAGCCCACCCAGGAATTAAAGCAGGAGTGTGCCCCGACAGAACAGACGAGAGAAGAAGATGTTGCTGAATCTTGGGCGCCAGAGATAGAGGGAGCTGTGGCACTGCAGGAACATGAGCTTTTGGATTTGACAAATGAACTTGGAAAAAGCCAGATTTGGAAAGATAAAGTTTGGACTGGTTTGGAAATGGGGGGTTGGATAGACCCCCCCTATGCAGGGATGTTTGGACTTTTCAAGTCTGGCAATGGGCCGTGAGATGTTTGGGGCTGTGGGGGCTCTTAATTTTGGAGGGATTCTGAAACATGTTTTTAAATACCACATGGAGTTTAGTCTGGACTATGGAAAAGGGGCTGATTTGTTGGAAAGGGTCAAAAACACTGCCAAGCTGGAGTTCCCACGAGTGAAAGGAGAATATGAAGAAGAGCCACGGAAGGGACATGGAAGGGACTTAAGGGCCTCGGATATAAGGTTACCAGGTTAATGCGCTAGATCAATGGGATAAAAAGGACTGACAAAACCCGGGACCAGGAGGAAGGGACGCTGGATGAAGATTGGATTGTTTTTATTTCTTTTTTTATTACTAGGATTGTTTTATAAAATTGATGAATGTTAGAAAAATGTTGGAACGAAATTACTTGGCTTTAGCAAAAATGTTTAAAGAATTAGGTAAGAATATTATGGTTATGAGACGATGGTAAAAATAAGATTTAAGTTTTAAGTTTTAAGGTTCTTTATAAGATAAGATGAAAATAGATTAAGGTAATGTAACGACAGAATATTATGATATATGGAAAGGATTTGCTGCGACAATTAACAACTAGGATACAAAAAAGGGAGGAGGAGGAGGTCAAAGAAAGAAGGTAATGAAAGTTGAGGATTCGAGAATGATGGATTTGTTTTTGTGTGTTTGTGGTGTATTTTTGTTTTTTGAATTTGTATTGTTTGATGTGGTTTGTTTTTTCTTTGTTTTTTTCTTTTTCTTTTTCTGCTTTGTTCTCTTCTGTAATTCTAAAAAATTTTCAATAAATATCATTTAAAAAAAACAACAATTTATGTCATACTCAGAGCAGACTCACTGAAATCAGTTGACTTAAGGTAGTCATAACTTCAATGGTTTCATGATTTCAATGGGTCCACTCTGAGTATGACTTAGTTGGATACAACCCCCTCTAGGTAGAAAGCTAGCATATCTGAGAAAAGGGCTGTAGCATAGCTTTCACTTTGATAAGCTCATTTTCTGTGGGCAAGGCTCTTTAAACTATTACCTACCATCACCATTAAGTGGTAGATCCAGGAAGGACTATATACCATATTTTTCCGTGTATAAGACTATATTTCCCCGCAATTTTTTTAAGTTTAAAAATGGAGGTCGTCTTATACACAGATAGTGCATATGGGGGATTTCTTTATTTGGAGTCCTAAAAAATAGGGGCTATGTTATACATGGAGACGTGTTATACACGGAAAAATATGGTAAGTTTTGAACATAAAGTTCAGTGCTTACTCTTCCCCAAATATCACCACCTAATATTTAGAAGTAAATGGCAGTATGTCATCATATGGTATTATCATTTCCCTCATCTGAACTATGAATGTGGACTGCATTTACAGGATTCCTTCCCCTGTCCTGAAGCAGTGGTTCCGTACTGAACTTGGTAGTGAATTCTGTAGGATCCATTGATTTTGCAAATACACATATAAGAACATAAGAAAAGCCCCACTGGATCAGGCAAAAGACTCATCTAGTCTTCCATCCTATTCTTACAGTGGCCAACCAGATGCCTTTAGGAAGTGCCAAGCTGGACCTGAGTGGAACAGTGCTCCCCTCCCTTGGGATTCTCAGTAACTGGTTTTTAGCGGCATCCTTCCTCCCAAGGGTAGAGCTAGAACAAAGCCATTGTGGCTAGTAGCCATTGAGAATCTTATTTTCCATGACTTTGTCTAATCCTCTTTTTAAAGTTGGTGGCCATCGCTACATCTTGTGGGAGCAAATTGCATAGTACTTTCTTTTGGCAGATCTGAATTTTCCACTATTCAGCTTCAGTAGATGGCCTCAAGTTCTAGCATTGTGTAAGAGAGGGTAGAAACTTCACAACACCATGCATCATTTTATCCATTTCTATCATATCCCCCCTCACTTATTTGCTTTTTTAACAAACTAACACTGATTATTCTAAGTAACTAAATAGTTTTATGTGATTTTAAAAGAACTGTAGAAAAGAACTGCAAATTGCAAGAGGGTTCCCAACTTCTACAATTGACTGGATCAACCTCATGCTGCCAACTAATGATGAATGAGTGACGTTTAGGCCGAATTAGTGCCTTGCAATGCTCCACACATCACATTCTGAATGAATAATGTGGCAAGAGGGGTGCCTTGTCATTTCAATCTGATCAGCTCAGGTGGATGTAGCCCACATTTTATATTGTTTCTTTCTTCAGGTGTGTATACACCTGTATTCAGTATTTGATTTTTTATTATTATTTGCAGGCTGATGCTTGTGTTGGAATAGCTATCACATCTGCTTAGGTTTCCCACAGTGCATTAGTATTTGGTTCTGCTGTCTGCTACTCATAACTCCCCCAGCCATAACGAATCCCACTTTGACAAACCAAAACTTAGCAAAGAGTCCTGATGGCAGGCTGACAGCACAGCAGATGCAGATGGCCCCTGTCTTTCCAACTACTTCATTTTATGATTCAGCTCAACTATATCTTACTTGTCATGAATAAGACAGCCTAGCTGAGTGACATTTCTGCTTGACTGGTAGTTAATGACAAGGAGTCTCTGGTGGGATGTTTTCTTTTCCTCAGGATATTCCAAGTTTCGCTATGACTAAAGGGAGGCAAAAAACAAGGTTTTAATTTAGGGTGTTGATGATGATGTAAGCACAGCCATCTGTACTAGTGATAATTGTGACACATGGTTTCCGTGTTCTTTGAGGTAGTTTATGGAGGAAGATGCAAAACTGACAGGGATAGGACATTTGATTGATTTACCTCCAGAACAGATAGCTTCTTGTGTTGTTTAATTGTAGGGAGAAATGAGGGACACTCTCATTTCCACAGTATCTATATGTAAGGATGGAGAAAACTATGCACTCTGATTTTGATTGTTTTGAATGATTGTTGGATATTTATATATTTGTTCTTTTGGCATTGTTACTTGTTGCTTTTGTAATGTATGACTGCAGAGTAGACGGCAGATTTAATACTTTGTCTAATAGGCAAAGAACCACCAAATATATTCAATTTGATGTTACTTTAGCGGTATACATAAGGGACAGGGAACCCTTGGCCTTGCAGATGCTGTTGGGCACTAGTTCCATCAACTCCTGCCAGCATGGGCAATGTCCATGGGGTTGTAGTTCAGTGTTATCTTACAGGGCAGAAGGTGTCTGTCTTTGGAAACTTAGAGTAGTGTAATGGGCATAGGGTGGTTAGATGAAAAAGAAGATGGTTCTCCTTCCTTGCTTGACAAACCAATCGCTGCATCCAGAACAGAAAGGAGGGCAAGGGCCAGGTAAAGTGTATGGGAGGATGGAAGTATTTTTCTATTAGTTCTGTTTGCTTCACAAAGGGCAGGAGCAAATGGAGACATCTACCTGTCCGAGCACAGAGGGAATCCATGAGCCCCAGAAAGCCAAAAAATGGGGAAGCTTAAGACGTATGAGTCTCCCTTGGTTGGATAAGGAGAAAGCGCAAATAAAGCAAGGTCAAAACTCTAACCCAGGAGTGAAATAAACAATTTTTCTGTAGCCCCTTCCTGAAATGGTAAGAATGAAGGCTCTTTAAAAGGGCTAAGACTAGATCTTTATGTTGTTTAGTTGTGGATTATTAGAGAGCATTTTAAAAAGTGTTCTGTGTTCCACTTTTGCCTGAGGCAAATGAGAAACCCAAGTTTCTGAGTTGCTTGTCACATTTCTAAAACTTATACTGTCAAATTAGTTTCAGGTCAAGTAACAGTATGATGTGCCTCCCCTCTTCCCTATTTTAATAAAGGATTAGGCTGAGAACTCTTAGTCCTAAAATAAACTGCATTTTTATTTCTTTCATCATCTTCTTGAGAACACCATCTAATGTGAGCATTGATCCATCCAAAATGGTCTCCAACATAGCATGCACATTTATATTGATATTGTGGAACATGAACCTGCATAAACACTCAACAAGTGAACCAGCTAAATCTAAGACAAGTACAACGGCACAGTTATTACTGCTTATGACCCATTTTCAGCCTCCTTCATCAAAAACAAAAACAAACCCTGAATGTCTAAGAATTTACCATTTTATATACAAAAACCAAGCCTTTATGTTCAACACAGGTCTTTGTTTGTTTGTTTTGCAACCACACACACGTTGCACAAAGAAATAATGTCCCTATTAGCACAGTACCAGTCTTGGATGGCTTAATGTTATAATGCTTTTTGCAGATAAATGTACTTTTAGTCCATGTTGATCAGTGTGAATCAATAAATGTATGGCAGAAGCGGTATCTTCTTCAATTTGCATACATTAATTAGTTTATCTTTTCAAAGCTTTATCATGTTTTATGGCATAAGGAGGAGCCGCAACAAAGCATTTATCATAGGTCAATCTTGGTTTTTTCCCCTGCAAGAATAGATAAATATAGGTATCTATTTTATGAATATCATATACATTTGTTTGTAGCAATGTAATACAGGTTTGGAAATATTAAGTACTCACTTGGTAGGGGACCTATTGCTCTCCAAATACAGTAAAGAGATTAATTAATCCAGTACACAATAGATTCCTGTGATACCTATAAGTGTAGCCCTTGGGGAGCCATGTTTCTCTGCAGGGAAGGAATAGAGATCTCTCTCTTACCCTAACAGAGGAACTGAAGGGGACTAAGAAGAAAAAACTGGTCAGGGCGGAGGTGAGAAAGTAGACACTCAGGCAGAATATTCTTTGTGGTGAGGGTATTGCCACTGTGATAGACATTTTTCTTTCCTTGTCATAGCCCATTAAACTTCAAAAGCCCTTCAGTTGTTACTGGTGCTTGGTGGCCTTTAGCACTGCTGAGGTATTGCTCTTCTGTAGTCAAGTGGGATTTGAATTAAAATTGTGGTTCCACACTCACAAAAATATCATGTGCTATGACACAATCCTGCAATGCTCATCCCCACAGCAGTGACAAAAAGTGGGGAGCACATTACTGCCATAAGCGCATAAGTTACCTGTCACTCCTCTTTTCCTTCTCTGTCGAAATTTGGATTCTAAACTCTTCTTTTATTACTCTTCTGCGAGGTACATTAATAGAGCAATACAAATGACTATTATTGCTGTCATTTTTCATTATTACTACTGCAACACGTATTTATGGCACCTTGCATGACACTTGACTCAGAGTGTTCCTGATGTTAATCCAGTTCCTTCTTTGGGTTGAGCAAGGCATCCATAATGAGCATAAACTCAGAGAGTGTTATCTACTTTAATAGGACAGTTGCTTCAAAGACCAGGAACTGTCATATTATTAAGTTTGTATACCACCCTAAAAGGGCATCAGATGTCAATCAGCCAAAGGCCTGGTTAAAGAGGAACATTTTCGTCTGGTGCCTAAAAGTGTATAATGAAGGCGCCAGCCAAACCTCCCTGGGGAAAGCATTCCATAAACAGATCATATTGGATTAAAAAAACCCATTGCACAAACTCAAGTTATTTCCTCTTGCCGTGGTAACGATGTACAAGATTACCTACATATTTCAGGGAAAATCACATTTGTTTAAATGCACTACACAGTGCTATCTTTGGATGGAATGTTTCTTTCTGACCCTCTTAAGTAGTCTGTTTGCATTGCAAGGAAATGTATTTGATTACCTTTTGTGTGTATATCTGGGCAATGTGCCACAAGGACATATCACACTCTTTAATTTGGTGTTGTTTGAAGCAAGGCTTTCTAAATAACATTCACTTTTAATTAAGTCATTACTTCTATTATCATCAAGGAACAACTGACTATGGGTGCACTTACCAAAGACCCTGTCTAATGCTAAACATACAAACTAAAACACACCTTACTTTTCTGTAGCTCGGATAGCAAAAACTATGTTTCCCCCCCAAAAAAGGTTTGAAAGTTAGCTACATACACAGTATCTCCTGCTGGCCTTAGTGATGATTAGTATGTCAGTCTTCCTCACTGACATAATTCTAAATATAAAAATTTGTATCTCCCCCTTGACCTTCTAAAAACAGCAGAAAGTGCTTTTCTAAGACATTAACATAATGGAACCTTTTCAGTAAAATGATAAATTGAGCCCATTTCAGCAAACAGAATGCATACTTGGTAATTTATTGCAGTCTTTGCCAATGCTGGGAACCTCATTCATATCATATGCTTTTAGTTCTAATGAGTATGGTGCCATTTCCCTACTTGCTTCACTTCTTTCATATTTGCCAAGGTGAGTAGCATTCTTTTGAGTGGAACCTGAGATGCTTTGGATAATTCATTGCGTCATGGCAACTCACCAAACATCTCTGGCCATTTTAAGCAATGTTTTGTTTTCATTGGAATTTCTTGTTTCTTCCACAAGAATGTTTGCAGTGAGAGAGTTTATGGAAGAAGGGCACAGCTATATTTTCATTCATATGTGAGAGTGAGGTTCATAGGGGTTTGTTGTTTTTAATTCCCCTGCACAACTTCAGTTAGTTGTGTGAGCAGACCTTAGTAGAAATTGTACTAAATGATAAATGTAATCAAGGCGAGGGAAATAAAGTCAGATTAGTGACAACGGTTCTGACTAACTCTTCTGTTTGTTCTTATTTTTTGCCACTTGAAATTATGGGCCTTGGGAGCCCACAGTGTATCTAATTAATAACCTAAAAAAATAGTTATGCCTCAAAGGAGGTGGGAGAAAACTATTGTATACATTATCCACAGAGAGACCATAGTTGATGTTGATAACTGTTTATTGCAAGACCTCAAAATTGCTTAACCAGTTTGCACCCAAAAATTTTCATGGAAACTCAGGGTCTAAAGCAAAAAATATATGATATGATTTAATAAAAGTTGCTCACTGACCTTAGAATGCACAGCCAAAGTTTCTCCTGCTCTCTTTATCACTCAGGGGGTTGGCTCAAGATGGCTGAAAAGCTGTGTGGCATCAGATCATCTAAGCCAATGAAAGCCAGAGTTTAGAACACAGTTGTTGGTTGGTGGTGTATTGTAACTGCTGTGGTTTGTGAATAAGCTACCTGCCTGTTTAAGGAAAAGCCATGAATTTGTACTCTTGGGAGAAAAAATATTTGCATAAAATCATTGTCGATATTGCTGTAAAATAAATAAAATTAATTAATCTGAGAACACTTTTGTGCTAATGTACATTGGGGATTATGAATTTATATAGATTTTTTTAAATAAAAAAGCAGAAAACCAATTATAAGGTGTAAACAGAAACAGATGTTTAGTTTGAGAGTCAATTTGCATTAGGTTAGTTATCATTTGCCTAAATTTCCCACTCTTTCTTTCATTCAGGAGAGGCTGGTGCAAAAGAGTGGCGTTGTGCTGTTGCCCTCCAGTCATTGTCCCTTACTGGGGTGGTGCAAGATCAAGGCAGGGCTGCAGCAAGCCAGAGCCATGTAAGCAGACTGGCAGAGCTAATCTGGTGCTCCTGCTGGTGCACTTGCACTGCCCCAACCTCACTCTCACCCTGTGATGCTTCTTTCTTTCTTTCTTTCTTTCTTTCTTTCTTTCTTTCTTTCTTCTCTCATAGCAAAAATTTAGAAATCGGTATATTTTCTTCCACTGCTTATACAGCCAACCAGTACCACCCATAAACAACTCCTCAGTCATGCCAGTGACTCAGCCACTCAGCTAGGTATTTGCTGCAATAACACACATTAAAAGGGAAATATTTTTGTCAGGAGAGGTAATTTTGAAATGTCAGAGAAAGTACTGACTACAAGAGCAATTACTCTAGTAAGCGCCATGTCAACACTCAAGCCCTGACCCATTTAGAGCCAGACAGTATCTAAATGGTATAGTAATGGTCTGTTTCCCAATTTTTGTTCTATCTATAATTGCAACAGAGTGTCTACACAGATTTCATTATGTTTTGTCCATACTGCGGGAATGCCTGCCTTCTTCTCACCCCTTGTGGTTGGTTAACCAGTTCTGGAAGTTTGTTTTCTCCTTCTAATGTGGAAAGGTAAAGGTGTGTATGCAGTGACTTTCCCTTTGGCTGTGCATTCCCTGCATTCAAAAAAGAAAACTGAGTCTGTCGAGTGCTGAACTACCCCTCCCACCTACCTTAACTTTCACAGGGGAGCAAATGTTTGATGCTCAACAATACACCTGGCCCTGTGATGCTCCATTCCCCAATGAACTGAACAAGATCTCTAAAGCAGGCTGCCTCTTGCAGCTGTTTTCCTTCAACCAAGCACAGTATTTCTCTAACACACACCCAGTACCACACAAACATTAAGACACTGCAGCCAGGATTCCCTCTTTGCAGCCAACAGTCAAGAGAAACTCTCTAATTAGGGGACCAATCAGTTATTGGTGGAACGAGGAAGTAATGAATCAAATGGAAATCATGAGGAGGAAAAGGGGAGATGCTAAGAACTGTCTACACTTGTGACGATTAAGCTGCTGCTTTACTCTCTTTTTTTAAGGCTGGGTTTTTTGTGGTAGGGAATAATAGAACAATTGCTGGAAAAACTTGTGAAGATTACAGTTAGATGGCAGTGATGTGTGGAGCCATCACAAAAAAGTGAGTGAACAAGCAGCTCTTGTAGCAGATTGTATTCCTTGTGGCAAGCAAGGTGGGATTCCACATTGCCTGTGGCAAATTGCTCAGACTGAAAAGGAGGTCTGCCCCTTTCTAATAGTATATATTAAAGAATGTCACGCTGTGATAACAAGGAATATCACAAAGGTGTGACAAAACAGTTTTAATAACTTAAAAATGTAAGCGTGAACACATTAACTTTTTTTGAACTAACTCAATGATGTCTCCCTTGTCTTTAATCTTCAAATGATGGTTCTAGCCTATTTTTCCTGTGAGGCATTGCAAAGGCAGGTTTCACATGCATATTCATGGCACAATACAGTCTCCCTGTGCACCTCTGTTCTCTTTCAGTGGTGTAATGCAAGGGTTGGAAGGGGAGGGTGCCATTTCCAAGAAGTAGGAAATATCTTGGTTTTCTCAGATACAGTGTAAAGTATGTGTACTGCCTTGAATTAGTGACACATTCTTGCAAAATGAAATAACACTCTAATGCCTGCA